TAAATAAATAAATAAATAAATAAATAAATAAATAAAACCCCCTTAATAAAATTTTAGACAATTAAACTATATACCAAGAGGGTGAGACATTAGGACAAACTAACATTTTCACTGGAATGCAAAGTTAGCTTAACCTCCAACATGTGCAATTTGCCATATTAATAAACTAAAAGGGGCTCTGTGGTAGTGGTGCACACCTTTAGTCCCAGCAGATCTCTGTGTGTTCAAGGCCAGCCTGGTCTACAGAGTGGGTTCCAGGACAGCCAGAGTTACACAGAGAAACCCTGTCTTGGAAAAAAAATGAATAACTCAAAAAGCAATAAATAAATTAAAAGGAAGCTTTTTGATCATCATCCTAGTGCATACAAAAATATTCCCCACACCTAACACCAATGCCTAATAAAAATTCACAGCAAACTAGGACAAGAAGTTGACTTCATCAGCCTCATAGGAATGCAGTTAGAGGGCATATAAGAGAAACTGCAACCAGTACACTCTGTGGCAAAAAAAAAAAACACCAAAAAATCTAGGTGATTTTTCCATAGGATCAGTAATAACAGGAGGTGTCACCATTCCTATCTAACATTATGCTGTAAGTTCCAACCAGTGTAACAACATAAAAAAATTACAGGGACCCATCTTGAAAAGGAAGAAGTGAAACTGTCTTTGTGGTAGATGACATCATTATTTACATGGACATCTTAAAGAATCTATAAAGAAAAGTTACCAGAAGCAATTAAATTTAGGAATTAGCATTCAAAAACTGATTATACTTCTATTTATATAATACTGAATAGCCAGAAATTTAAATGCAAATAATCAACACCACTTATAATCATGTCAAAAATATAAGATGCTTCCATATAAATCTGACACAAAATATAAAAAGCCTGCACACAAGACAGAATAACACGGGCTTGAAGAATCCGAAGTGGACCCAGATATGGGAGAAACATGACTGTCAGGGATCAGCTGGCAAATTTAGATCAGGAAGATGTCAATTTCACCCCAAACTGACTCTATACATAGCTCCAATCAAAAGTTCAGCTGTCTTTCTTCTTCTTTTTTTTTTTTTTTTTTTGAAATTGACCAACTAGAGTAATTAAGGCTGGAGAGATGGCTCAGTGAGTAAGAGCACTTGCTGTTCTTCCAGAGGACCTGAGTTTGGTTCCCAGCACACAGTTCATAAACACACACACACACACACACACACACACACACACACACACACACACACACAATCGACCAGGTGATTCTAAATTACATACAAAGTGCATAAAGTAGGAAAGACCTAAGCTATCCCAAAGAATCTAACCAGAAAGCTTATCCAGGGGACACCAGAACTATTGCACATAGATCTACTGTGAACAGTTTCTCATAAGGCTCTGTTCAGAGATCTGCATTTTTCTCTTGGGTAAATACATACATAGGAGTGGAAGGGCTGGAGCATGAAGCAGATTTTGTGTGAGTTTTCAGAAAATGCCAGCACCATGGGACTGGTATTCAATGAAAGAAACGGTGGAGCTGAGCAAAAGCCTAGATAGAGACCTTCAATGTCCACTGATTTTAGAGACACAAAAACAGTGGAGTGGTCTTGTCTGTGAGCTGTGCCTGAACAACCGCAAATGAAAGAGAAAGTGAGAAAGAAACTTTGATTTGAATGCAAAAATTAAGTCAATGAACACTGGACTTCAATGTAAAACATACAACTTCCCAAAGATATTCAAGCAAAGGTCTCTTAAATATGACACAAAAAGCATGGTCTACCAAAGAAAGGACACTGATAATGGACTTCATCAATTAGGAACTGGTTTTTATTCAATGACACAGCTAATGGAAAAGACAAACTACAGATGGGGAGGGAGCATTTGTAGACCATTTATCTGATGAAGTCCTTTTATCCACAATACATACAGACGTTTCTATCATCAGTGGTAAGAAAACACACAACCCAAGTAAAAAGTGGGTAAATGATTTCAACAGAAGCTTAGCCAAAAGACGTTATAGGGCAAATTATCACACAAAAAGATTCAGCATCAGATGAGCAAACTAAAATTACCCCACAAGAGCACCATGACTCACTTACAAGAATGGCTAAGGTGTCAAAGACTTGTCACACCTTCCATGGGTGAGCTTGTGAGGAGGTGAACTCCCATATGAAGGTGGGGACAGCACTTTGGAAAGGGGTTTGGTATTTCCTGAAGACTCACACAAGCATCTGCCCCACTAGCCCAGCACTTCCTATGTATTTACCCAAGAACACAGATGTCTGGACAAAGCCTTGCATGGAACTATTCATAGTGGTTCTATATGCAATAGCTGGGAACTGTCCACAGCTCCAGTGCTCACCAGCATGGGGACAGAAACAATGGTATGTCAGACAGTGCACAGCAGTGGGGAAGTACAGATACACCACCACACAGAGGCATCATAAGTGGATCCCAAGGAGTGTGGAAGCCTTTCTAGAAAGAACCAGGCCATTTAGAGAAAGTTCTAGGAAACACAAACATCCCTACAATTCTAGAAAACATACCAGAAGTCATGTGGTAAAGAAGAAGGAAGGCATTGCAGGGCTCAGCAAGCTGACTTTAATGGGTGTGGTTATTATTTGGATTGTAATGATGATGGCTTCAGAGAGAGAGACAGAGAAACAGAGATATTCTTCTTTATGAAAAAAAGGTCATATTTCTAAGGGAAATACACATCTAGGAATATCTTTCTAGAAAGCCCCACTTACCTGTGATGACAGAGCCCTCGGAGCCTGGACAGCTTCCTAAGTACTGGTAGTCCGTGAAACTAAAGCTTCCAGAACTCTCCTCCTCAAGGGACTGAGAAATCTCCTGAATGTTTCCCATTTCTTGTAAGAATTCTTCCGATAAGGGACTCTCCAGGTCATCTGCCTCAAGTGGGGAGAGGGGACAGATGGGGCTCTCTGTGTCCACCATGTTGACTGGAAGTGGCCACGAAGGCCACAGAGCACCAATCTGTGGGATGAAAATAGCCAGAAGAGTGTTCACTTTCTGCTCTGAAATGAAAACACAACTTATCCTTAAAGAACTAAGTTCAAATCTCAACAGTGGCAGCATTGACTCTCCACTCTCAACTCTTGAAAGCACAGTAATAAAATTCTCTAAACAGGGTCTGGGGAGACGGCTTAGCAGTTGTTGCTTTTGCAGGGGATCTGGGTTCAATTCCCAGCACCCACGTGGCAGCTCACAATCATGTAAACTCTGGTTCCAGGGAACTCTGACCTCTATGGGCATCAGGCACGTGTTTGGTGCACATATATAGATCCAGGCTAAATTCTCAAACACATAAAATAAAAATGCATGTTAAAATCTGTTAACAACAAACACAGGAGCCAAACCAGGTGCAGTGGGCAACCCTTCATTGCTTCCCGACTGTTCACTACACATGAGCTCAGCTTTCCAGCTATGGACAAAAACACAGTCCATGTCCCTAGAACTTCCAGTGGGGACACAGGCGGGGGCCAAATGAATGGGATGTCTGATGGGGGCGAGAGGACACAGCAAGAGCAGATGGAGAACAGATGCCTTGCATGGGGAACCCCCAGAAGGATGGGCTGTTTTGGAGAAGAATGTTCCAGCAAAGAGAACAGCAAGTGCTGGTGCATGCCAGCACATTCTAAGATCAGCAGGAGGCCACAGGGCTTGGTTGAGGGGCCCCAGGAGGGAAGGCGGGAGCAGTCAGCAAGAGTGTTGTGTGGTATTCATTCTTGGGTTTTCTTCTGTACACACGAAGGTCAGTCTATTGTAGTCAGTATTAGAAAAGTTACATAGTAACAAGTGCTTTGTGAAGTTTTAAAAATATCTAAAGTAGGTAAGTCCCAGGCAATGCCAAACTCCACTTTCCTGCAAGCAAAAACCAGTGTCCTCATGGGAAAGTGCACTCTCCATAATCTTAAATGACTTCCTATGATCTCCAGGTCAAAGTCCAATCCCCTTAGTGCGTCAGTCCAGCCCATGGGAATATATAGCACACTAGGCCTTTTTGCTATTTCACCTGGGCATCTTTTCCTGGATGTCTCACTGCTGCCTTCAGTAGGCCCTACTCCCAGTCCACCTCCCGGAGCCTGACAGACAGGGTCACCACGCACCCAGTCAGACTGACTAGATGACATTTAGCTTTCTGAACTGTTTTCCCATCTAGAAGTAGTCACAGAGAAAGCCACAGCTCACATCACAGAGGAGGTCAGAGGCACTGTGTACTAACTAGCTGGGCCATGGGTTCCACATGGAGTAGCCCCTGTCACACAGTGGCCATGCCAGTGCTGTAGGTTTCAAACAGAGCAACCCCTGTTACACGGTGACTAGTCAGTGTCTTCTAAAGAACATTTCCCAGAGCACTGAATGAACACATGTGCACTGACATTGCCACATTTTCAAGTTTGCCAAAGGTCAACAAACTTTTCAAGTGCAACAAGGAAGGGGTGTTTTGGCTTCCCGGAGAAACAAACAGTGGCTACAAACTACATGTTTTTTTGTGAACAATTCGCATCTCAGGCTTGGAACCCTGACATATCATAGGTGACCATTACAGACAGGGAGACATGACAAAGAATGACCACCATCTGGGAGATGGCTCAGCTGGTAAAGTGCCTGCTGTGAAGGGGTGAGGCCCTGGGCTCATTCCGCATCACTGACTTACAAAGCCTGGCAGTGTGCACCTACAATCCCAGCACTTACGAGGCCAGATAATCCTAGCTGAATCCAAGTTCTGTGAGACTCCCTCTCAAAAGATAAGGTGGAGAACAATGTCAGGAAGACAACTGATGTTGACTTATATACACACATACACATCATATACAAACACACACTACACACACCATATACACACACACCATACACATACACTCATACACATAACACACACACACACAAACATCATACACACATACCATATATACATACACACCACACACACATACACCATATACATATCATACACACACATACACATCATATATACATACACACCACATACACATACCACACACACCTACACATATCGCACACACACACACACACACACACACACACACACACACACCACACACATACACCATACACACACAAATATATACATCATACACACACACACACCACATACACCATATACACATCGTATACACACCATACATACATCATACACATATACACACCACACACCACATACATCATATACACATCATACACACACCACACACACATCATACACACACACACACCATACACACAACACATCCCTCCCCCTCATACCACACACACACACACACACACACCTTTGTAGGATAAAGACAACCTTCTATTTTCTGTGTATGCTATACCACAAATCTTTGCCCACTTTTTTATTTGGAGAGGTGGTGCTGGGGATGGAACCCAGGGCCTTGTGTATGCTCAGCACTTTCCACCACTGAGCTACCACCCCTGCCCATCAACACACTTTATTCTGCACTGTATTGAAAGGACTAGATAGTGGAAGAAGCATTACATAAGTTATTTTTCACCTTGAGCAAAAAGTTCAAAAGCTGTAATCATGAGATCAGACATAAAGTTCATCCCCATAAAAAGGCCAGACGGGGACAAAGTCTGTGCTAAGGAAGAGCTGTGTCTTCTCATTTTTTTCTGTCCCTGCCATTGACAGCAGCCTTTATTCCCACAAACCAGGAGCACTGGGCTAAGACCATGAGCTGGTTTCCTTGTCATGACCTTCAGGGAGCACCAGTGTTTGGTATCATGTCATTTGACTCTTTGCTTGCTTTTAAAGAATAACTGGTTTTAACTAGAGAAACATTGGTCTTGCCATTCATGAGATAGATGGGATAACACCTCTTCATGAGTGGGGCAATCTTAATGTGAACTCTGACCGCTGGGCCTGGCACCACACAGAACACATCAGTCCTTCTTGATTCCAACCAGGCCAGATAAAAGCCTTTCCCTTTCAATGGGTCCTCCAGAGAGATAACAGAGGTCACATGGGCACACCCCAACATGCTCGCTCTGAGGTTCCCAGCATGCCCTGGCATCACAGTAGACTCTGTTAAAAACAAAAACATCCGGGGCAGTCCTACCACTGTGTCCCACACCCACAGTTCACTGCCATTGACGGTTCACTAAGAAGAGCAGCCAGGCCAGCCAGTGACTGTGCCCTGTGCCCCAGATGTCCCAGAAGGATAGGAGAATGAGAAACAATTCCCCATCTCAGTGCCCAGTGCCCACATGGCTCAGGGAATTTTTTCTTTTTTCTTTTTCTTTTCTTTTCTTTTTTTTTAGGGCTAGTAATTGAATTAAATAACAAAAAATATTTCACTGGAAATTAGGAGGTTGACTGTTTGAAAACTCTAGAACACTCAATAAAAAGGAAACAAAAGAAAGAGATATACAGTTTCATGTTGGGACAGGCCAAAGCACATGAGAATTTGGGTATTGTACACTGACAACCTTTGATGCCAAAGCATCTTGCATGTTGCCACTCTAGGACACTGGATATTTAGGCTAACATGACTTGCTAATCAATGAGCATTTACTGTGTGAAGTCTCTAAGGTCTGACACACCAGGGTCCTAATTCCAACATGCCATGTTTACATGTGGTTGTGTAACTTCTCATGTCTGTCTCTCCTACTAGATTGTATGTCTTGATAAAGCAAAGGGTATATTTGCCTGATTTTTGCATGCTTCCATCCAAAACAATCTCTCCCATGGAGCAGGTTTCTACCAGTTGGCACAGAACAATGCTGTTACCTATGCAAGGTGGGGCTCTGTGAGTTGAGCAGCTACGACAGGTGTCACTCAGAAAGTGCACCCAGCATCCAAAGACATTACCTGTGCAATGAATATGGAGAACAGCAGCCAAGGGGAATTCTGCACTGAATATGTGACCAGCAGTTTTCAGAGCAAAGTATAATTACAGAGACTGAAAAAGTTTACGAGAAGGGAAAAAGAAAAAAAAATCTCAGCAGAATAATGAACAGAGAGGTTCCCAGCCATAAAGCAAGAGCTGTGGGGAATAGGGATGCTGAGGATCGACCCCCTTTCAGTTGAAAGCAAAGGACTTGGCCAGGTTGGTTCAGCAATCTGGCTTTGGTGTGAGAACCAGCACCCAACAGACAGAAACATGAGGAGGCAAAGGAATGCGAGCCTTGTCATTCTGACTTTCTCCTTAGAACCACAAATGGCAAACTCTGGATATGTTCTGTGACCAAGTGTGCCAAGGGAGAGTCCAGAAGTTCACTCATCAGCAAAAGAGCCGGGTGTGGTGAGTCACACCTTTAATTTCACAACTTGGAAGGTAGAGGCAGGTGGATCTCTGTGGGTTTGAAACCAGCCTGTTCTACATAGTGAGTTCCAGGACAGTCAGAGTTGCATGGTGAGACCCTGTCTCAAAACAAGCAAACAAACACAAAAAATAAAACAAATCTCCTCAAAGTGACATTCACATGGAATCCTGGCTACTTGGAAGGCTGAAGGCAGGAGGATTGTAAGTTCTAGGCTAGCATGGGCCACACAGAAAGCCCTTGTTAAGGAAGGAAGGGGGGAAAAGGAAGGGAAAGAGGAAGGGCTAGAGAGAGGGATGAAGGAGGAATAGAATGAAGTGATTTCTTCCTTTGGATGGAATAAAAGACTGGGGCTAGGATGTGGCTCAGTGTGGCCTAGCTTGGTTCAACACCCTAGAGCTATAGAAAGAAAGAAAGAAAAGAGCATCACAAGAAAAGAGACAACAGGAA